TGGCCTGCTGTGTTCATCCAGCTCTACACCTTGTTATCCTCATAATGGTAGCCTGAGTCTCTGGATTACAAGTTCTGTGATCCTACATCGCCGCTTTCACCATCGTACTGTTGTGGTTCTAATATAGGAAACACAGGCACGCTGTGCCCAGCAAGATCCTAGTGACAAAAATGGGTTATGATCGTGTGTTTTAGTGATATTGGTTGAGTCATAAATACTTTTTAGGACAAGAGAGACCTCCTCCCTGAGTTAGTGACGTATGAGAAGGAAACGCTTTGCATCTGATAAAACAAAACCTAATGATGCTTAGGTGTCAGTTGTCTCTCCCCATCTTAACTGTACTTCTATTCCCTTCCTGCAGCTCAAGTACATTCAGGACTTCCAGCAGGAAAAAGGGAATTTTGGGCAGGCAATGGCCAAATTCAGGTACTATTCACTGTTCTGTTGACAACTGTTCTCAAATGTCTGTCTGTTTGTCTCTCTTCGATGCCCTTGATCTAATGTCTCCGTAGTCAAATATCCTGCACATTGTCTTCATCAACTGGTACTTGATCAACAGCACATTAGTGAAGAGCATTCCAGGATTATTTTGGTTTACTTCCAATACCATTTCCCCGCATGACTGAATGCACAGGTAATAATGACCAGCCTTGCCAACAATGGGCAGCCTTGTGCTGTGGGTCATCAGCAGTAGCAGCAGAATTGTACACTGACACGATCTGTAACCATATGGCATGTCATAGTCCCCTATTTCAACCATTACCATCAGGCCAGGGGATCAACACTGGTTCAATGAAGAGTGCAGGTGGGCGTGCCAGGAGCAGCACCAGACATATCTAAAAGTGAGATGGCAACCTGGTGAAGCTACAGAACAGGACTACTTGGATCCATACTTGGATGCCAAACAGCATAAGCAGTAAGTGATAAACTGAGCCAAGCGATTCTTCAGCCATCAGATTTAAGATCTTCAGTCCTGCCACATCCAGTTATGAATGGTGGTGGGCAATTAAACAGCTCACTGGAGGAAGAGGAGGCTCCACAATATCCTTATTCTCAATGATGGAGGAGCACAGCACATTCGTGCAAATAATAAGGCTGACTCGTTCTCAGCAATCTTCAGCCATAAGTGCTGAGTGGATGATCCATCTTGGTCTCCTCCAAAGATCCCCAGCATCACAGATACCAGTCTTCAGCCAATTCAATTCACTCCACATGATACTGCAAAGGCTATGGGCCCTGTCAGTATTCCAGCAATAGTACTAAAGACATGACCTCCAAAATTCGCCAAGTTGTTCCACTACAGCTACCACACTGACACCAACCAGACAGTAGAGTCATTGAAACCTACAGCACAGAGAAAAGGCTGTTTGTCCCATCAAGTGTGTGCTGGTCAAAAACAACCACTGAGCAATTCTAATCCTATTTCCCAGCACTTGCCCTGTAACCTTGTATGCCTTGGCATTGCAAGTACACATCTAAATACTTCTGAAATGTTGTGAGGGTTTCTGCCTTATGGATTATGGATTCCAGATTCCTACCACCCTCTGAGTGAAAAAGCTTTTCCTCACATCTCCTCTAAACCTCTGCCCCTTACCTTAAATCTATGCCCCTGGTCATTGATCCCACCGTCATGGGGAATTGTTTCTTCCTGTCTAGCCTATCCATGCCCCTCATAATTTTATACATTTCAGTCGTGTCCCTGTCAATAGTTTATGCTCCAAGTCTGTCCCAGTCTGTCCAATCTCTCATCACGGAAACTCACTAGCCCAGGCAACATTCTGGTAAATTTCCCCTGCACCCTCTCCAGTGCTATCACATTCCTCCTATAATGTGGATTCCAGAACTGAACACAGTACTCTAGCTGTGACCTAACCAATATTTTATACAGTTCCAGCATAACCTCCCTGCTCTTAAAACTTTATGGCTAATAAAAGTAAATATACTATATGCCTTCTTAACCACTTTATCCACCTTTCCCAGTATCTTAAGGGACTGGTGGACAAATAGACGAAGATCCCTCTGTACCTTGGTGCTGCCCAAGGTCATACTGTTCATCATGTATTATCTGGGCAATTTTCCACATTGTCAAGGGATATCCTGTACACAAAAAGCAGGACAGTCCAACCCGTCCAGTTACTGCCCCTTCAGTCTACTCTTGATCATCAGTAAAGTGATGGAAGGTGTCACTAACGGTGCTATCAAGCAGCACCTGCTCAGCAATAACCTGCTTAGTGACGCCCAGTTTGGGTTCCGTCAGGGCCACTCAGCTCCTTACCTCAATACAGCCTTAGTTCAAACATGGATCTACGTCTCATGAGTGAATTTTAAAAAAAGAACACAGTCCAAGAATAAACAAAAAAAATGAGAACAGTACTAATGTCAACAAAACACCAAACAGCCAGGCTTTATGTGGAATTGATGTTATATCATATCATAGGAGATAATCTGTTGATCTAAACCATAACCCAGTGAGAGTCAGTGTGTGTATGTCAGCGTGACCCATTCCCCAGTACAAGTCAGTGTGTGTGGCAGTGGGGGGGCGTCCTGTACCTGAATGAGAGTCAGTATGTGTGCGATCCTATACCCCAATGAGATTTGCTTTCAGTATAAGGGAGAATCACAGAATTGTTACTGTGCAGAAGGCAGCACGGTGGCTCAGTGGTTAGCACTGCTGCTTCATAGCACCAGGGACCGAGGTTCGATTCCAACCTTGCGTGACTGTCTGTGTGGACATTCTCCCCGTGTCTGCGTGGGTTTCCTCTGGGTGCTCTGGTTTCCTCCCACAGTCCAAAGATGTGCAAGTTAGGTGGATTGGCCATGCTAAATTGCCCATAATGTTCAGGGATGTGTAGGTTAGGTGCATTAGCCACGGAAAATGCAGGATTACAGTGATAGGATAGTGGGATGGGGATGGGTCTGGGTCTGGGTGAGCTGCTCAAAGAGGGAGGCATGGCCTCGTGGTAGTATCGCTGGACTGTTAATCCAGAGACCTAGATAACGTTCTGGGGACCTGGATTTGAATACCGCCATGGTAGATGGTGAAACTTGAATTCAATAAATATCTGGAATTAAGAATCTAATGATGACTGTAAACCCATTGTCGACTGTCGGAACAACCCATCTGCGTCACTAATGTCCTTTAGGAAAGGAAACTGCCATCCTTACCTGGTCTGGCCTACATGTGACTCCAGACCCACTGCAATGTGGTTGACTCTTAACTGCCCTCTGGGCAATTAAGGATGGGCAATACATGCTGCCCAGCCAGCAACGCTCTCATCCCATGAATGAATAAAAGAAAAAAAATGCTCTTCAGAGGGTCGGTGTGGACTTGTTGGGCTTAATGTGAGGATTCAATGATTCTCTGATTCTAGGAAGGAGGCTGCTTGGCCGAACATGTACACACTGTTTCTGTTGCCTTGGGCCAATATCCTGCCTTTTCCCCATATCGCTGCTCACCATTTCTGTGCAAATAATCATCCAATACTTGAACCTGCGTTTTCAGGCAGTGTATTCCATGCCCTGACTATATGCTGTGTGAGAAAGTTGTTTCTCACATCACCCTTGCTTCATTTATGCATCATTTTAATCTGTGTGTCTCTTTCTTTTTAAACCAGCAGGAGCAGCTTCTCCCGATCAACTCAATCCAGCCCACTCATGATTTTTAAAAACCCTTATCAGATCGCCTGTCCGCTGCCTTCTCTCCAGGGAGAACAGTCCCAACGTAGAATCTCTACAATGTGGAAACAGGCCATTCGGCTCAACAAGTCCACACCAACTCTCTGAAGAGCTTCCTACCCAGACCTCTTCCCCTACTCTATCCCTGTAACCCAGCATTTCCAATAGCTAACCCACCTAATCTACACAATCCTGAACAGTATATGGGTAATTTAGCATGACCAATCCATCTAACCTGCACATCTTTGGATTTCAATTTATCCTTATCACTGAAGTAAAATGGGAAACTAATGAGGTAGGGTAGCGGCAATTATATTAATTTCTTTAAATTATTTGTGTTCCTAGGGATGAACATCCTGATCTCATTGAAGAACAGAGAAAATCGGATATTCCTGAAAAGCCAAAGACACCCCAGCAGTTATGGTATAATCATGAGAAAAAGGCGTTCCTGAAAGCTCACCCTGAGGTAAAGGACACAATTCACTTGTATTAGTGAACTTGAGAAATTTAGCCATCTTAATCTGCTCCCTGAATGGTGGATTGCTTCTTCCTTAGTCACCTTGCAGTTACATTTCAGGACTACATCAGTTATAGTAATACTGTCATGTGGATTGGAGTTGTATTGAAAGCAGACCTGGTGGGTTTGGGGCATTCCCTTTACTGCAGGCCATCGTGACCCAGTACATTTTGTTTGAAAATCAGCTTTTTTCATAGTGTTTCTTCCTCTTGCCGGATCACAAATTACTGTTCTTAGTTGCTTAACTTACAATGCCAGCATTCACTGCCCATTCCTGTTTGCACTTAAAAAGGTGATGGTGACCTGATCTGCTGCAGTCCATGTGCTGTAGGTTGACCCTCAATGCCCTTGGGCAGGGAGTTCCAGGACTTTGATCTAGTGACAGCAAAGGAACAATGATATATTTGCAAGTCAAGATGGTGACTTTGGCTTAGAATCCCTACAGTGTGGAAACAGGCCCTTCGGCCCAACAAGTCCACATCGAACCTCAGTACATCCACCCAGACCCATCCCCCTATAACCCACCTAAGCTAGGCATCCCTGAACACTATGGGCAATTTAGCATGGCCAATCCACCTAACCTGCACATCTTTGGACTGAGGGAGGAAACCAGAGCACCCGGAGGAAACCCACGCAGACACAGGGAGAATGTGCAAACTCCACACAGAGAGACACCCGAGGCTAGAATCGAACCTGGGTCCCTGGTGCTGTGAGGCAGCAGTGCTAACCACTGTGCCACCGTGCCGCCCCACTTCCGCTTGGAAGTGGTGACATTCCCATGTATCTGCTGCCCTTGTCCTTCTACATAGAAACATTTTAAAAAAGGAAGCTGCCTTACATAGAAACATAGAAATTAGGAGCAGCCCATTCAGCCCTTCATGCCTGCTCCATCATTCAGTATGATCATGACTGATCATTCAACCTTGTTCTTGCTTTCTCCCTATACCCTATGATCGCTTTAGCCTTAAAAACTAATTCTAATTCTTTAAAACATTCAATTTTTTTGGTCACAACCGCTTTCTGTTGAAGAGAATTCCACGACTTACTACTCTCATGGTGAAGAAATTTCTCCTCATCTGAGTCCTAAATGGCTCATCCTTATCCTTAAACTATGACCCCTAGTCTGGACTCCCCTGTCATCAGGAACATCCTTCCTGCATTTACTCTTTGTTGAGGGTACTTCACCTCAAATTACCTTCTAATTCAGCTCCTTATTAAGAAATCTGACAATCAAGTACTGAAACAATAATTCAAACTTTATTGCGTGTAGCAATCAGAATAAGACCCCTCAAGTAAGCAAGAATAAGCCTGCAACCCAATTTAGCTATTACCTGATTAGTGGTGAAATCTGACCAGGACTTCAGCCAACGGGGATCAGTCTCTGGAAGTTTCCAATGTTTGGACCTTCTGCAGTGTTGTTCTTTAAAGTTCTGCTGTTGAGTTATTCTGGTGTTCGATTCTTATGTAGATTTTTCTCCTTCAGTTGCTGAGATGATGTCTTGATTTCTTTCGAGTCTTTCCTTGAGTTACTGCAAGACTGCAGCTGACTTCCTTTTCAAAAGTAATTTCTTTATTTCTTGTTACATTTGGCCTTAACTGTCTGTTTGAAGACACAGCTTTCCTGTAGTTAACTCTTTAAATTCTTCTGCAGGGTAATCAGTTATCCATGTGGCATAAAGCAGCCAGTTTGCCAGACAGGTGTCAAAGCACATTGTTTATGTAATCTCAGCAAAATGTGGCTAATTGCTTGAGTCTCTGTGTAACAGCTTTTCTTTGTTTCTTAACAGCTAATTCCAGACAGAGTTAGTGCTGTGTGTAATAGCATATCTAGTGTTGATTCGTCCAATCCATGAACAGTAATTAAAATTCTGAAGTCTATAATATCACACCTGCCTAGTCCTGTTAGAATTTTATAGGTTTCTATGAAATTCCCCCTCATTCTTCTAAACTTCAGAGAATAAAATCCTAACTGATCCAGTGTCTTGTCATATGCTATTCCTGCTATCCCAGAATGGTAGAACTCAATCTAGGATTTGGAAGGTGCTGTCTAAGGAGCCTTGGCAAATTTCTGCATTCAACCTTGTAGATTGTACACATTGCTGCTACTGAGCGTCAGTGGTGGAGGGAGGGAGTGTTTGTGGATGTGGGGCCAATCAAGCGGGCCACTTAGTTCTGCATGGAAACTTGAATGTTGATTGGAGCTTCACTGCTAACATGTACCTTGTTAATGGAGAGACATTGAGGAATCAGAACTTTAATTGTTTGCTGAAGAATTCCGAGCCTTCGACCTGTTCTTGTAGTCCCTGTATTTGTATAGCTAGTCCAGTTCAGTTTCTGGTCAACCCCCAGGAAAATTATAGTGTGGGATTTGGTGATGGTAATGCTATTGAACGTTAGCTTCTTGTGGGAGATGGCTAATGCCTGACATTTGTGTGGTGCAAATGTTACTTGCCACTTTATCAGCCCAAGCCTGAATATTGTCCAAGTCTTACTGCATTTGGACACTGATTGCTTTCCTGTCTTTGGATCTCTTCACCTTTTTGTTTTCCTCCCACAACCCCTCTCCTGCAATTTATCCTGTAAGAATTCTGTAGGTTTCAAAGCAACCACCTATTCTTTTAAACTATAGAGGACACAGCCATAGTCTCCTCAGGCTATCCTTGGAGCCTAGGGATTGGTGTGGTGAACAATCACCAATCTCTCTATGGCAAGTATGTCCTCCCTTTGGTAAGGAGACCAAAACCTGTATATGATACTGCAGGTGTGGATCTTATAAAGGCTGTTAACAACCGCAGCAGGACATCTTCACTCCAATGTTTTAGAATAAATCAAAACCAAAAGAGCATATTATGTTTGAGTGACGGCCGTACGGTAGCACTGTCAAATAATGATCAAGATTAGACTGATAATGTGAAAGTTAGTCCAGTTATATTCGTCCTGCTTTTCACGAACAGGCCATACCTAGGCAGTCATTCTGCATAAAAACCGAAAGAGCTGTGGATGCTGTAAAACGTTTGAGTTCTGAGGAAGGGTCACCAGACCTGAAACATTAAGTCTGATTTTTTTCTTCACAGATACTGCCAGACCTGCTGAGCTTCTCCAACTAATTCTGTTTTTGTTCCACCATTCTACATGCTGGCTTGATGCAGTGGGACAATCTGGATATGGGCTAATTCTAAAGCATAAGTCTTCAGTACGATTGCTGGAATGTTGTTAGCCTAATGTCCTTGTAGTGTCCAGTGCCTTCAGCCATTTGTGATAGCAGGTGGAGTGAATTGATTTGGCTGAATCGCCAACTTCTGGTGCCTATGATCCTTGGATGATCTGAGTTTGGATTCAAATTCAAGGGATGATACTCATTCATTGCTGTATTTCTGTTTTCAGGTGAGTCCAAAGGAGCTAAAGGATGCCCTTCGCAGACAGTGGTCTCAGCTGTCTGATAAAAAGAGGCTGAAGTGGATCAGCAAAGCCCTGGAGCTGCAGAAAGAGTACGAGGTAATGATACTAATCACCAAGCGACTCTTGTCGAAATAGATCATTGTTAAGTGTGAGATGCAGAGAAAAACAACAACAAAACCTTTGGAGGATCAGTGCAGAGTGAGTACTGCACTATGCACTATCAGAGGACCAGTGTTGACAGATTTATTGATGGAGAGCTGCAGTTTTTGATGTGGAATATTCCAAATGAAACATTAAACCAAGGATCTTTGATTTCTCTCAACCTGACATAAAATATCTTTGGCCAGTATTTGGAAGATCATCATGGGAAATCTCCCTGTTCTCCTGACCAACATTTATACATTAAATAAGTTTATAAGCACAATAATTTTAACAGACAGTTCATGAGACTTTATTCTGAACTTTTTTTAGGCATCAATGAGAGTTTATGTGGAAGCTCACCCAGAACTGAACTTTGAAGAACCTGTCAAGTCGATTCTAACCAAAGCTGAGAGACAGCTGAAAGATAAATTTGATGGACGTCCTACAAAGCCACCACCGTGCGTATTCTTTACTCCTGACTTGCTCCAGTTCTCACTGGGCTTTACAGGCCCACAAATTGTCCTTGGCTACAGCTCCATATAGTCAGCAGCTGGTGATCAGGAGCAGGGAGTCTTGGTGATTTGTCATTTTATTCTGTTTTCCGAATCCAGAACCCAAGCTCTATGAAATACTTCAGTATTCCTTTAGTTACAGCTGGCACCTAGTGTTGGGAATCCAAACTGAATTACAGGTCAGGGTTAGAGAGAGAGTAAAGCGCTCTCTACACTGTCCCTGTCAAACACTCCCAGGACAGCAACACCAAGGGATTAGATAGAGAGTAAAGCTCCCTCTGTATTGTCCCCCATCAAACATTTCTAGGACAAATGCAACATGGAGTTAGGTACAGAGTAAAGCTCTCTCTACACTCTTCCCATCAAATAGTCCCCAGACAGATACAGCATAGGGTTAGATACAGTGTAAAGCACCCTCTACACAGTTTCCACCAAACAGTCCCAGGACAGGGACAGCATGGGGTTAGATACAGAGTAAAATCTGAAGTGCTGTGCTGCTCTCAGGCTGAAGATCTGAATCTTGTTCTTACTGCAGGAATGGGTACTCATTGTACTGTGCAGAACTGATGGTTAACATGAAAGATGTTCCCAGCACTGAGCGTATGGTGCTATGCAGCAAGCAGTGGAAGGTCATGTCACAGAAAGAGAAGGATACTTACCAGAAACGCTGTGAACAGGTGAGAGACAGACTGCTTCACAGTTTTCTGTGAAACGTCACTGAATTCAACAGTTTGGCAGTTCAGACAGTGGCACACGGGAATGTCATTGGACCAGCAAACTGGCTTTTGGTAACTAAGCACAGGCTATTGAACATAACGTAGGAAATAGTAGCAGGAGTTGGACATTCAGCATATTGAGCCTACTGCACCATTCAGTACAATTATAGCAGATCATCTACCTCAGTGCCAAGTTCCTGCACTCTCCCATACCCTTTGATATCATGAATATTGAGAAATCTATTACTGTCTTTTGTGAACATACTCAATGATTGAGCTATGACCAGAATTTCAAAGATTCACCACTTTCTGAGTGAAAGGTTTTCTCCTCATCAGAGTTTTGAGTAGCTTGCCATTTATTCTGAGATTGTATGACCATAGATAGTAAAACATAGGAGCAAAGTAGGCCATTCACCCCATCAAGTCAGCTGCTCCACTAAATTAGATCATGGCTGATCAGATAGTCCTCAACTCCCACTTTCTTGCCTTATTCCCACAACACTTGATTCCTTTAATGTTTTGAAATCTGTCTATCGTAGCATTGACTGCCATCTGCAGTAAAGAATTCCATAAATTGACTACCATCTGAGAAAAGAAATCTTCAACCCTGTCTTAAATGGGCAACTCATTATTCTGAGTTTAGGCCTTCTGGTCCTAGACTCCCTCAAGTGGAAAACGTTTCTACATCTAGCCTGCCAAGTCCTGTAAAACTTATATATTTCAATAAGATTGCCTCTCATTTTTCCAAACTGTAATGAGTACAGGCCTAACCAACTCTCCTCAAAGTAAATCCCTCCATAACCGGGATCAACTTAATGACTCTTCTCTGGACTGTCCCAATATCTTTCCTTTAATAAGGAACTAAAACTATTCACAGTATTCCAGCTGTTGCCTGACTAATGTCTTGTATAGTTTTATCAAAATCCCTACTTTTATACTCCATTCGCTTTGAAATAAGGGCCAGCATTCCATTTGCTGTCCCCATTATCTGGTGAACTTGGGTGCTAACTTTTTTGTGATTTATGCACTGGAACCCCAGATCTCTCTCAACTGCAGTGTTTTGCATTCTTTCCACATTTAAATAATATTTAGCTCTTCTATTTGCCTACCTCATATTTCCATACAATAAAATCCAAACCGAGTTATGACCAGTCCTTAGAGTCAAAAAAACTGCAGATACTGGAACCCAAGATAGACAAACGGGAGGGAGCGGTCAGCGTTTCAGGTATTGCCCTTCTTTTGGACTTAACCTGACTATATCCCTCTGAAGACTCTTTGTCATCCTCATCACTTGCCTTCCCATCTATTTTGTGTCATCTACAAACTTGGCTACATAACATTCACTTACCTCATCCAAAGTCAGGAATATATATTGTAAATAATTGTGGCCCCAGGACTGATCCCTGTGGCACTCCACTAGTTACATATTACCTGAAAATGGTCCCTTTATGCCTGCTGTCTATCTTATATCCATGCTAATGTATTACCCCAGTACTTTTATCTTAAGTAACCTTATGTGTAGTACCTTACTAAATGTCTTTTGGAAATCCACATATATTATATCTACTGATTCCCTTTATCCTGTTACCTCCTTAAAGAACTGTAATAAAATTTGTTAGACATGATTTCCTCTTCATGAAGCCAAGCTGACTCTGCTGGATTATATTATGTATTTCTAAATGCTCTGCTACTGTATATTTTATGACGGACTCTGATGTTTTTCCAATGAAAGATGTTAAGCCTTTTGTAACCTTTTTTGTGATCTCCATCCTTTTTGAATGAGGGAGTTGGCAATTTTCCAATCCTTTTGAGGAATTTCCAGAATCTGAGGATTACTACCAGTGCATCCACTATCTCTATAGCTACTCCCTCTAAAATCCTAGAAAGTAACCTTCAGTTTGGAGGACTTATTAGCCTTTAGCCCCATTAGTTTCCTTGGCACTTTTTCTGGTTGATACTTAGCCCCTCGAATATTTAGTAATTTTGGAATGTTATTAGTGTCTTCTCCTGTGAAGACTAATGCAAAATATTTATTCAACTCCTTATCATTTCCTGGCTTCCATTATTATTTCCCCACCCTCATTCTCTAATGGACTGATGTTCACTGTTGACTTTATCTTCCTTCTTTTAATGCCTCCCCTTGATCCTCCCCTTCATAGACTGTGTCTCAAAACCTCACTGTCAGCCCAATCCTGCACTATGTGTTCAACTAGATGGGGAAATGAATACCATGCTGCCATTATTATACATATCTTAAGAACCAACAAATGGAAATAGTTTAGAGATCAGAGTGATTTGCTATTTCAGTCAATAATTCAGGCACTGTGTTCTGTTATCATTAGAACGGAACAACTACTGGAGTCAAACCTAGCAGAAAGGAAAAAACCGATAAAACTGTGGATGTTGTAAGTCAGAAACAGAAATTGCTGGAAAAGCTCAGCAGGTCTGGCAGCATCTGTGGAGAGAAATCAGAGTTAACATTTCGGGTTGTGTGACCTTTTATCAGAACTTAGCAGAAAGGAAGATGGTTGTGGCTGGAGGTCAGTCAGCTCAGCTCCAGGACATGTCTGCAGGAGTTCCTCAGGGAACTGCTCTAGGCTCAACCACCTTCAGCTGCTTCATCAATTACCTTCCCTCCATCTTAAAGTCAGAAGTGGGGATGGTCGCCAATGATTGCAGAATGTTCAGCACCATTTGCAACTGCACAGATACTGAAACAGTCCATATCCAAATCATCAAGATCTGGATAATATCCAGAATCCAAGGTCTGTGAAATCAGTTGTGTGTTCCCTTAATTAGGGCTGACACCCAGTGTCTTGAACCCAAACTGGATTACACCTCGGAGTTAGAGAGAGAGTGACGCTTCCTCAGATATTGAAACAGTCTATGCATCAAGATCTGGATAATATCCGGAACTTAAGTTTGAGCTTTGATCAATTTTGATCTAAGTGGAAGTAACTTTCATGCCAACAAAAGCCAGTCAATGACGATTTCCAACAAGTGAGAATGCTTTGTCTCTTGATATTCAATGGCATCACCGTCGCTGAATCCAACGCTGTTAATATCCTCGGGGTTGCCAATGACCAGAAACTGAATTGGACTCGTCCTATACATACATATAAAAACAGTGGCTAAATGATCAGCTCAGAAGCGAGGAACACTATAGCAAGTAACTCACCTCCTGACTCCCCAAAACCTGTCCACCATCTATAAAGCACAAGTCAAGTGTACGATGGAATATTCCCCATTTGCTAGATGAGTGCAGCTGCAACAACACTCGAGGCTTTACACCATCCGGGTCAAGCAATCCACTTGATTGGCACCACATCCGCAAGCATCCACTCCTCCACACCCACACTCAGTAGCAGCAATGTTTACCATCTACAAGATGCATTCAATAGCTCAGCAAGGCTCCTAAAATTTTGAACTCAACCTCTCTTTGTCCTTGCGAGTTCTGCCTCTCACTACACTCTGGAGAAAGAGGATTTTCTGGAATTCAGGTTGAACTTGATAATGAATGTTTTAGATTTTCAGACCAAAGATATGCAGGTTACATGGATTTGCCATGCTAAAGTTGCCCGTAGTGTCCAGGGATGTGCAGCCTAGGTGCATTTAGCCATGGGATATGCAGGGTTACAGGGATAGAGTAGAAGGGTGGGTCTGGGTGGGATGCTCTTCGAGGGTCATTGTGGACTTGATGGACTGAATGGCTGGCTTCCACACTGCAGGGATTCTGTGATATATGGCCTTGGCTCTGCTCTTAGCTGCAAGTGAAGCTGATTGTGTCTGTCCTATTGAATTGTTTCATAATTTTAAAGATCTCTATTAGCTGATTCTTCTGGCATTTTAACAGAGAGTCCCAGCATATTCATTCTTTCTGGTAAATATATCCTGTCAGTTATCATGGAAATAATTGGTGTCTCTCCTGTTCCCAATAACCTTTTACTATTTTAAAAATTTGATCATGGATTGACGGCATCGTTGGTAAGGCCAGTGTTTATTGCTCCCCCCCCAATTAGAAACATAGAAACGTTGAATATAGGTCCAGCACTTAGAGCCTGCTTCGCTATTCAGTATGACTATGGCTCATCATCCAATTCAGTACCCTGTTCCCACTTTCCAATATCTGTTGCCACCTCAAGTCCTAAGAACAACATCTACATCTTTCTTGAATGTCTTCATTGTTTTGGCCTCAACTGGCGCACCACTGTCAGGGTGAAGAAGTTCCACCCCAACTCTGTCTTAAAAGTCCTACCCTTGGACTGTGACCCCTGGTTCTGCACTCCCCGCTCATCAGGAACATCCTTCCTGCATCTACCTACATCCTGTCACGTCCCGTTAAAATCTTAAATATTTTCTAGGAGGTACTCTCTTCCCCCTTACTCCCACCACCCCCACCCCCCCCCCCCCCCCCCCCCCCCCCCCCCCCCCCCCCCCCGCCCCATTACATAGGCCAGAGGTCAGCAAATTTCCTTCCTTCAAGGACGTGAGTGAACCACATGGGTTTTCATGACAATCAATTCACACTCATTGTGAGCCAAGGCTATACTTAGAATTTCAAATTTATGAATTGAATTTCAATTCCACCAATGCCATGGAGGGCTTTAACCCCAAAGCATGAGCTGTGGCCTCTCAATTACCATCCAGTGACATTATAACAATGACATAATTTAAAAATAATGATCCCTCTATTGCCTGTGACTCTCATTTATGATACTTCCACAGAAAAAGAAGCTTTACGAGACAGAGATGCAGCGATTCCTTGAAGTGAGTAAATAGTGTTTCCTGTGGTGTTGGTATCTGCATTCTAAACTGTGCCGTACCTGACCTGGGAGTATTTAATTGGGACTGTGTGGAGGGACCTTTACTCTGTATTTGTGTCTGTTGTGTCTACCTTCTTTGATGGGGACAGTGTGGGGAGATTTACTCGTGTGTTTGTATGGTACGTGTTTCACTATTATTCAGCATCTTTCTATGCATTGTCAGCTTCCAGCTACCGCTCCCCCCCAGCCCCCCCCAGTTTCTGTGTTTTGTTTGGTAAATTAATATTCATGCTTAAATGTTACTATTTCAGAGTCTCCCAGATGAAGAGCGGGAGAGGGTGTTACAGGAGGAGAAGATTGGCGGCAGCAAAATAACAAGCAACGTAACAACAAACGCACAGAATAATGGCCCTCAGCGAACAAAACCTGGCAGCCCCACCTCACCAGCCTCACCAACCAGCAAGGTCAGTTCCAGATGGCACAGGTGGGAGCATGAAGGGCCAAACAGCCATTCGCTCTTCAATCACATTGTGGCCAATCGTTGACCGACTTGTCAAATATCCTTCGGTCCTGACACGACAAAACCTCCATCAGTCCCAGTCCCGAAAGTTTCAACCACATTTGGAGAATTGTGTTCAGTTCTGGGCACCTTATTTAAGGAAGGTTGTTAAAGTCCTGAAGAAGTTCAAAGGAGACTTACTGGAATGATACCAGGAATGAATGATTTTAGATACAAGGCGAGATTAGAGATTGGGTTTATTCTCCTTGGAGCAGAGAAGATTAAGAGGAGACCTTATTGAGGTGCTCAAAATTATGAACAGTTTTGACAGGATAAAGAAGAATATTCTGTTTCCACTAATTGGTATGTCAGTAACTAGGGAGCACAATTTCAAGGCAGTCAGCAAGAGAGTTAAGAGTGTGATGAGGAGAAACTTCTTTACTCAGAGAGTTGTTAGGTTTTGGAATGTGCTGCCTAGGAGAGTGGTGGAGGCAGATTCTATAGGAGATTTCAAAAGAGCTGGATATATATTTGAAAGTGATGAATTTAGGCTATGGAGATAGGGCTAGAGGATGGAACTAGCTGGGTAGCTTGTTCGGGAGCTGGTAAAGGCACAATGAGTCAAATGGCCTCCTTCTGTACTATAAATTTCTGTTTCTAATCAACTCCCAGCATACAAACATATGAATAAGGTACAGGAGGTGGCCACTTTGCCCATCAAGCATGCTCCACCGTTTAGTGAGATAATGACAGATCTGATTGTAACCTTGACTCTACATTCCTGCCTTCCCCCAATAATCTTTTTACCACTTCCTTACCAAGTATCTATCTTCATCATCCACAACTTTTCCATTTTGGGGTTCAGGGTGGTGACAGCAGAGTGTGTTCCAGGCTTTTATTCCCCTTTGCTTGAGGAAGTGCTTTGTGATATCAGCGCTAAACAACCTGGCTTGACTTTTGAGGTTGTACCCCCTTGTCCTGGACTTTAATTCCCCAATGTACCCTTTCAACTCTTTATTTTTTGATCTACATTAGATTACCTGCCTACATTCTAAATTAAATGAAAGCAATGTTTATTAAGACAGTTCTCATAAGTTAAGCCATTAAACCCTGTCCTATTCTGATGAATCTGCACTGCACCCTCTCCAAGTTGATTCTGAGGTGTGATGTGCAGAATTGAACCCGGAAGTTTTCTCTGAGAATTTTGCAATTATGGAACACTGCCTCAGAAGCTGGCAGAGGGAAACATACAATATTTTTGAGTAGTTAGATTCTTGTTAGGAAATGGAATCTAATTTGTCAGAGGTTACTGCACTTTGGCTCTTTGAGCAAGGTTCTCAATAATCATTACTTCTATCGGTTTGTATACGAATACTTTTGAGATCTTACTAAGATGAAGCAAGTGTTAAGTGGCCTCTAATTCTGGACTGAGTCAAACAGGATCCATCCTTTCCGTACCCAGCTTATCAAGACCACTTAAAGATGTTATGATCTCCACTGTCACACCCTCCCCCCCACCTTGCCCCCCCCCCACCCCGCCCTCCCCCCACCCCCCGCCCCTCCCTTCCCCCACCGCCCCTTCCTTCCCCCACCGCCCCTTCCTTCCCCCACCGCCCCTTCTAAATTGTCCAGCCTTTCATTAAAAAAACAACCCATTCATTTCAGGTATCTCGTAAACCTCCTGTGAACTGCCTGCAGTGCATATGTGTACTTAACTAAGGAGACCAAACCTGCCTGCAGTACTTAAGAGATAGTAGGAACTGCAGATGCTGGAGAATCTGAGACAACAAGGTGTCGAGCTG